GAGTTCGGAAAACCGTCTTTGAGAACACAGACGGAGAGATTAGTGTGGTCGTGGCCGTCAGAGGTGAAATGAGAAACAATGGGCTTGGAGAGATCTTTAATCTTCACAGCCTACGCATGCTGACGCAGCTACCCACCTGAACTACATAGTAAAATATTACACATTTTATTAAAGAGTAAAGTATACAGATTTCCCTGTCAACATGTACAGTATAGAGTGATGAAAAATCATCTTATGGACCATATTATGTGACAGAATATGGGACATGTTTATAGAAGGGACTATATTTCGGACCAAGAGTTTTGAAAAGTCCCCACCCACATTAACCCTGTTTGCTAAAGTCTGTAATTTCCTACATTCTATTCCAAAGAGGAAATTACATTGTCAGGTAAAAAAGGGGTAATACTGATTAACTGCTGGACTACCGTGTGATGAGGATCAGTTGTGAGTGATTAGCTTGCTTCTCGACGTATAAAACTGGCAAACAGTGTTTCGTCATTTGTTAGGAATCTACTGTTTTGTTGCTAAAACAAAACTTAGAAACAAAGGTTTGAAAGTTGAAAGCAACTTAGACACAACACAGGTAGAGCCAGGTTAAGTTATTGTTGACTTCAGTAGAATCTGGAGATTTATCCAATGCTGGAAGTCTAATAGTAAACTAATTACAAACAACTAAACTCACAATTCTTTTTTTCTGCTCCTGAAGGGAAGGCACAACTGAAAAATTTTGATCAGTGGTGACATGGTACCACAAACTGACATAATACAGGTATACTAATAAATCACCTGAACAAGGATTATTTCTTTTGGTCAGAACCTATAGAAGATGTTTCAATAATACTGTATGTATGTTTTATCTTTTTAATTTGCGTTTGGAAATTAGCATGAGAAAATGCAATGTTATGTTTTTGTATTTTTTTTAATCTACATAAAAATTAAATACTTAAAAAATTCTGACTTAAAATTAAAATGGAACAAAAGTGAACCTTTAATTAAAGCTTGGAATGAACTCTTCCTGGTGGTTCAGAGAAGGGCAAAGATGTGCTTGTCTATAAAGCCTGAATGTTTTGCACAGAAATGTTTTTCTCTGTTAGCTTTCTCAGAAATGGCATGGTTCTTCTTAGTTACCATTTTCTATACTTAGCTGAATTTATGAACAAGTCACCTCTTTCCATACACAGCAGTCAAAAGTTCAAATCACTGTATTCTGGACAATTCCTGATAGTCAGTGTCTGAGGCTATATTTCAAAACTAGAATATGACCCTGCATCTACACTGGTACACAAGTACCATGTAATGGCTTCTGAGTGAAATGGAGGATACACCAAGACATGCATTTCTGCTAATAAAGTCTGGTTTTGCACTGCAGGAAAGAAATTTAGCACTATATCTTGTTATACCAACCTTACCAGGGTATCATTTAAATGGTTCAATTTATGACAAAGGAGCTACTGTCTGTTATCTACAGTATTTATTATTACCTATGAACAACCAAGTCACTTTCAGTGTTTTATAGAAGTAAAAAAGGGAAGCAACATCTTTCATCCCCATTTGACTGTTTTTGTAATACATATAGTCCTTGCAGATCTCAATTTAGGAAAACTTTAATGATTGAGGTATTTCAATACAGCTTCTATTCAAAAGGCATTCTAAGACACTGTGTTGCAATATGTCTGGCATGTCTACAGTTCTCAGTTAGATGTATATTATAAACTGAAAGGCACAACAAGTGCCATAGCGTGCAGTTATAGCATAATCAAGCTGGTATTCAAGTTTTTATTCTCTTCTATTGATCACTTGTGCTTTTCAGGCTGTGAAACTGTGAGAGACCAGTTATTGACATTAGTACGAAAACTACTTCCATTAACCATATAGCAGGTGGCATGTTTGAAGAAAAGCAATGCAAAAATAAAAATGAAAGATGTGTTTAACACACATGACCCACAATTGAATAATTCCTTTAAAAGTTCCAAGTCTGAAATGCCTCTTAAATCAATTTGCTTTAAAACTGTTACTTTGTGTTGTAAAATTGAATTTGTCTGATTTTGCTAAATTCTTATGCTTTCAATTCTTCACGTACATTTTAGATCTCCCATTCACTTTGTTGCTTTGAAATGAAGAGGATGTTCAGCAATAGACTGATTCATCCACGGTGCGACAGGGAGCGCTACAGGAGGTCATTCTTGCCTTCTGCCATAAGACTGTACAACGCATCCACCTTGCGTCTGGGCAGAGGCAACATTGACAGTGACCTGTTTCTGGACTGAGCAGTAAACTGCTACGTCTGTTCTTTTTCTTTTCCCGTTTAAAACCGTTTTTGTGCAGTATATGCCAGGGACCTGTGCAATACATTTATATTTATAGTCATATTGTGCAATACGACTTTTTTGTGAACTGTTCTGTTCTGGTTTGTTCTTTGTGTGTCTGGACTGTGAGTAACTCTTCTTAGTGCACTTCTCACTGTACTGATTGTATTGTATGTATTGTATTAGTATTATTGTATCATTCGTTACACTGTGTCTGTGTTAAGCTGCTGTTGCACTACAATTTCCCTCACAGGATCAATAAAGTATCTATCTATCTTTACATGTCACACATACTGCATGTAGCATAACCAACACAGAAATCACTCTAAAATATGTTTGCACAGCTGTATTATTACTGTGATCTTTAAAAATCTCTTGATTAAGATTCCATGTTCACTTCAGATGGGAATGGCCACAAATTATATCAGAAATTCACAGAAAATACAGTGAGGTTAAAAGCAGGGATGAATTTAACATTCTTTCATCACAGTTATCTGTACTGTATCTAAGGAAAGCAATGTATCACATTTGCAAACAGAAAACTGCACAGCCTGAAGCCCAGAAGGTAGGGGTTCATCTGAAAGCTGTCAGAGAGGCTGATAAATTTATAAACAGATCAAAATATTACCCACATTCCAGGGAACAGACGGGACAAATTGCTGAAGCTTGGCACCTCATTTTCAAGCCTGGGGGTGTTAATGAAATGCGGAAAGCACTCAAGAAGAATTTATTTTGTCCACTATGGGACTTGGATAAAATTCCTCTATTTTCCAACCCCCCCAACCTACCCTCATATGTTCTCATCTGTACCTCAGCAATTTGCCAGTAGTTTGTCCCCCTTCCACAGGTATTGTACTGACCAAGCTTCAGAAAGCAGGTAAACACAGTGTTCAATCTATTGTATTGGATAATACTCATAAGTATTCAATACCTGATGACAATAAACTTACAGTCATTCATGTAGGCCAGTCAATCAGTACAATTTACAATGTATGCTTATCTTTGCCATTCATTTGTTATCTGTTATTCAGCTATTCTTCACTAGTACCTACAGGAAAATCTAGAAAGCTACAATTATCTATCCTATGTCCACCCTGCTGTGGACTCACAAACAGTTGGAGTGAAGCATGGCAGAAATGTTTCAGAAACAATCATAGATAGATCAGACTTTATTGATCCCAAAGGGAAATTGATGAATCATGATGTTGATTATAACATGAATTGTTCCATTATGGCATCTAGACTCTGCAAAATGTGCGCTCATACTTTAAGGTTGATCCAAATCCCACCCATTAATTGACTTAATTGACTTAATGAAAAACGTTTTCACCTCTCTGCCTGATGCACTGTGTAATAGGGGTACAGGTGCTTAATGGCTGCTGATCGAGAGGGTCTCATCCTGTATTCAATGTGCTTTGGGATCCTTTGGAATGAAAAGGCGCTAAACAAATGCGAGTAATTACTAATGTTGGTGATGATGTTATTGTTATAATTATTCAAATAGAACTCCATTCCAGCAAAAAAATATTCAAGTATTTCTCAGCTGACAATAACATTGGCCCTGTTCTATCAACAATTATAAGAAAATGTAAATGTTCAAGAATTTGAACATTATACCCCAAAATCTTTTGACGTGTTTTTATCAGACAAATGAAGACCAGTAACCATGTGTTCTAGTAACACCATGTTCGAATTTGCGGATCAAAGTTATATTCAGTCTTAAATCTATTACCTAGAATGAGACAAGTTCATATTATGGTGAGCCCTATAAAGATAATGATTTTCAAAAGCTTTGTTACATCTGGTGGCTTTTTTATAACTACTATTTAGTTACAGATTAATAAAGGGTTGATATCAACCGAGTATAAAAATTGATTATACCAAAATCCCATTGAGAAAAGAGGGCAATATCTTGGCTGCTCCTAGTAAGAGATGAGTATTCTTTTACACAAGGGCTGTACTGTATGTCTAAGCAGTACAAAGCATTTTCTGAAAATCGATAGTTGTGTCAAAAACTGCACTGCTTCAACATAATGGGTTTATTTTCATGCAATTTAAGTCAAAAGATAGGTACTTAATTTCAATTATACAGACCACTGGAACCAAGTACCATGTCAGGAACAATTCCGTAAGTCTTTTCAGAATTCAAAGTCTAACATTCCTCACCAGAAATGTAAGGTCTGAAGGTATTTGTCAATTAGGTCAACTGGCTTCTCTAAAATGAAGCCCTAAGATTTTTTTTTTTAACTCAGCATTTCATTTGATATATACTGTACAGTACTTCAATTTGCTTTATTTCATGGAGAAAATGAAATGCCTACACCACTGCAGTGAATAATTGGAAGAGTAAGTGAGGCATCTAACATAAAAAATGTGCATGGAAAACATCTCGTCTTAAAGAACCGTTTTGTTTTATGTAGTACGTATATTTATGAGGAGCAAAATTTAGAATAAGGCTCACCGACACTGAATTCTTTCCTTAAGTGTATATTGGCAGATTATCTATTACATACAGACAAGACGCAAATCATGTCTTAATCACTGAGATCCCACTGAACTGTAAACACATTGCAATGACTGTCTGACTAGTGATTAACGGATGTCCCTGTTGAAACTAACCAGTTGCCGAAAGGGATAAACAGGTAGAGCAACATGTAAAACTGAGGTGTTGCTTAAAGTTAGCACAGTATTTACCTAAAGAACTCCATGAAGGAAAATCCATAACCGTGTTGCTCAGCAATTCCAGCACACACCACATTTGCAGAGGCCCCAATTAGTGTACCATTTCCTGAAAAAAAAAACACAGTTCATTGAACATTACCGTCAACTTAAGTTAGCAAAAATGATAAAAAGCAATCATTTTACATGTCGCTGCTACATAATCTCAATTTTGGCAAGCCTTGTTTGATGCATTTTTAACACATGTAAACATGTATAATAAATTTGTAGATAACATTACACAATTCTGCATAATAAAATTCTATCAGAGAGTTCATACTTTTTAGATATGATTACATCCCAAAATAAAGTCAAATGATCTTGTAACCATTAAACATTTCCAGTTAACCATAAGGAAATATGGAATGCGATTAAAATGCCTTTTTTTTTTGCTGTCAGAATTGCAAATATTAATGGCCAGTAAACACTTCAGCAGAATCACTTCAGTTGTACTGATTGCTAATCAAATTTTTTAAAAAGAGCAATCACTCTTTTTGTGCATTTAGGCCTAATGAGGTGCAATATAAAATTGTTAGAGAGAAAATAGCTGAAGTTATTCAAAGATCAGTTCCGATTGCAAAGCCACCCGAGAAAATAACACCTTACACCAGAGCCCTTTCAGTTTTATGTAATCTTTTGTATTAAGACAAATTGTATGTCTTAAATTATATGGAGAATTCTTGCCTAATGTGAATGCATCAGAAAAAGCTTTCTTAATTGCAGAATTTCAATTGCAAAAAGACCTAAATTACAGGAAGACCAAATTAATCAGAGCACAAGCACTTCAGGCCACCACTGGAAGTCTGAAAAGCAATTCTCAGTGTGCACCCATTTATTGAAAGCAGCAATACTCATAATGTCAGTTTACACAGGTTTTCATTCAGTAATAATTGCCCCTCATGCCAACAGAATTGCTCATAACACAGTCTTATGAGGTTTTCTGGTTAAAAAGAATTCTGTCAACTTTTGAACCTAAAAGCCTAGCCAGGTGGATGCCTGCAGGCAACATAACTCGATATCATTTCTGCTAAACAGATGTCATTCTCCAGTATGCCCCGCAGAAGAAGCTGGGGTAGGGAAAGAAACACAATCAGCAATGACAATCATGTCTTCAATCAATAAGAAGCTGTCAGAGTGTAGTGATTAGGCTAAATTGTAACAATAAGTTTTTTTTCTGCCTACACAGATACCAATATGCTACCACACACCTCTACCCTATCATCCCTATCATTTAGGATATCTGCTTATTTTTTAGACACCGAATACTGCACATACCCATCCCTCCATTTTCATACTGCTTTAATCAATACAGGGTTGCAGGGGAGAAAACAGGATACAACCTGGACAGGACATTAGTCCATCACAGGGCACAAACACGCACACACTCACACCAGGATGAGTTTTTCCAGAAGCCAGTTAACCTTCCAATATGTCTCTGAACTGTGGGGGGAAACCAGATCACCCAGAGGAACTCCACACAAACATGGAGAAGACATGCTGTACACAGATTACACCCCAGTAATCGAACCCAGGACCCCAGGACAGTGAGGCGGCAGTGCTAACCACTATGGCACCATACTGCAAATACACCATACTGTTAAAATGCTATTGCCACCCTAATTTCCTTAAGTGGAACAATAATTATTACCCGCTGTTATCAACTATTGCTTCAATATCTGGTAGAGAATTGTCAAACTGTATTATGAGGGAGGGTAATGAGAAAGCTAAGGTTCCCGCTGAGGTAAGTATAGAAAGTCGTACCTAACTTCCATCCTTAACACAAAGTCATGCTGCAAGTTATTTATCCCTTCTTAAGAGATAAATAAAAAATATTAACCTACAGACTTATCATCTAGTCAGCTACTCTGGTTTTATTAGTATAGAAGGACTGAGAGTATATGGCTCCATCCTGGATGAGATGCTTATCAATTGCAGGGTTATATACAGTACAGCACTGCAGGTACCATGTACAGTACTACAGTATATCCAACTGGATGAACTGGAGCACGAAGGGATAAATACCTTCGTAAAGCATACAACAGCAGTGTTCGCACCAGGGACAAGAGTTTGACCTGCTTCTTTTTTTGTAGTAATGTCTCAAAATAAATGCACCCTTCAGTCATTAATTAATCTAGGAAAAATTCCAATTTTATAACTTTCAAACTCTTTAATATACCACGTCTTGGTCTCATAAAATGAATGTTTAATTGGACACATTTGGGAATGTGTCAGTCTTTTGTCATTTTACATAAAGAGCACCTAGCTTTTCTCAAATCAGAAAAGGTTCACTGTGATCGCTGAGAATGACAAAATATTAAAAGAGTTTATATTATTTTGGAGGATTGAAAAAAACCTTAATCAGAAAACATTCAAGAAGTTTCAATTCATTCACCTCTTTTTTGTGTTTTGGTATTTTTACCATTTTTTTGGACAGTCCCTTAGTTACTTTTTTGCAAGGACCTCATTAATCATCTTTACAATGTCAGAAGCTGGAGAGGGACTAAGGAAAAATGAGTGATAAAAGTGAAAACAGTACAAAAGAAAATAGGAACAACATCAAATGGACACATTGATCCCTGTGGGGTAACTTACTGTATTTAAGTTAGACAAGGCTACTAAGTGGGTGTTAACATCATTGAAATTAGTCTTATTTTTTAATTAAAGAGAAATGTTCTGAAAAGATGATTTGCGGATCTTCTACTGTAGTCTGGCCTTAGTGCAAATAGTGTTTCTCATTGTTTGCATTCCGTTTCTATCTCACGTACTGGACTGTACATTTCACACCAGAAAAAAACATCACGTAGTACAACTCAGATAATTGAAAAAACGGTTTTACAATATGGATTTTTAACAATAGGCTTGAAATAAACAACATGTTTTATTTTGGTTCCTAAGAGCCTGTCATTTTCCAGCTGTTGGGTTGCCGTGTTTCTCTGACAGCACTTCAATACAAACCTCTTATCTGAGAGACTCTGATCAGTGAATTAATAATATTGACAATCCCAAATGCCACAGATAACTATTTCTTTACTTGGATTATATGAAATTCAAGACATTTAGATGCGAATCATTTTCACAGGCAGGATAACCTTGCAAAGTATACTGTATATAGTAATTAAAAACACATTAACATTAATGAAACAAAACTAATACATCCATCCATTTTTGAATCTCTTCTTCCAATATAGGGCCACAGTAGAACCAGAGCCTATCTTCTCAGCAACCAATGGGTGCAATGCTGAATACACTTTGTGTAAACCCTAATGACAGTGCCACCATGACGTCTTACAACTAATTTCTTAAAAAAGGTCATATGAAATCCCATTTATAGAACACTGGTGTTGTTAGAAATTGGCTGCACACATATTTCATTTGAATGAGCAATGCAGGTGGGGACAAATGCAAGAGCAATGCATCAGAGCTCAAATGCTCTTTTGGCAGGCTTACTTACAGTATATGCAAATTCATACTAGAAGCTCGACAAATAATACTGTATATCTAGAGTTATAATCCTTAGAGTATGATGTTACACATGTAGGCAACTCAACAACACAGTTGTTGCATCACAAATAGAATCAGAATCACAGTGTCACTTACCTCCAAGGCAAGCCCCCATTGCTAGTGCAAAAATGAGAGGCTTCACTGGTAAGTTCACATCAGCATCTTGACTAAGATTAAGGAGCACTGGAATCTGAACAGAAAAATGAAATAACTGTGAATATCTTCAATGGATTGATAAACGGCTCACAACAATATGCCACATAAAAAAAACATTTCTTTCTTTGTTAGATGCAGTTTACAAAACCAGTGTTACAGAAATCTGATTTTGAATCTGAAACATTTCCAAAGAGATCAAATAATATATGAATCGGGGAAAACCTTAAATGCATCATGGCCAGCATGGTTACTTGCAATAATACATTTATTTGAATTCTATTTTGAGGTGAACATTGATTCTTTTTTCAAGAAAGGGTAACAGTGTCCTTTTTTCTTAAGGAAGCTAAAACATTTTATGGTTGATAATTCATAATCAAGAATAATAATTGATAACAAATGTTCGTCATGTTTTTTCAGTCTTTTATTGAATCCTTTTTTTAAAAAACTTTTTTTTTTACTTTTACCCTGATTTGCTGGTTTGGAAATCTAAATCTGAGGAGAAATAACAAATAGGGGTGTATTGTAAAACTGCCAGAAAGTTGGGTTTTGTATAAAGCGTATTCTATTCTAGAGGACCCTTCACACTTTGTTTAAAGAATTCCAAATGTTAACACAGATACAGATTTCCCAATTAAAAAACAAATAGGTTTAAGTTGTCATTTATACTGTATCGGTGCCCATAACCTTGCTTAAAGTGGAATTGCAATTCTATTTTTATATTTTGGGATTAGAAAGAAACTACATTGATTAGCCCATTTCAAACCACATTGAAAGTAAAATGTACATAGTAACCTGTAAAACCTCCAATTTACATCACAAAATAGATGAAATTTCCCGGTGTGCGCAGTGCTACATTCTGCAATTCAGAATGAGGCAACAAAACTTCCACTGAGGTGAAGCAGCCCTATTACAATATAAACAAGCAGGCTTATGAATTCATCATTTTTAATCCAATAGAAATATTGCTCTCGACTTCGAGATGGCGTTTCTGACAAATCTAACTTGCTCGTTAACTCTGCATGCAGACCACGTTGGAACATTACTGCGGTGAAATGTCTGCTGCACAAGCTGTACTCGTTCGCTCGCACGTCACATTACATTAGTCATTGCAGTGGCTAGTGAGTGGGAAGGTCCTTTCATGTCGCAATTCGTGGGGATGCGAGTTTGATTTTGTGAAACGTGAGTTCATGTGAACTCTTGCTTCCGCCTGTGGGGTTTTCAACAACATGGGAATTATCCAGTATTTTTACAAAGTTCATGATTTTGTGTTTAATTCAGAATTTGTCAAGTTGTGCGATACGGTCAATTAATTTATTTTCTTACAGAGACATAATAACCAGTCTGACAAATTGGGACTGCAGCTCCCCTTTAACAAATGGTTCTCTTGTGTATGTACTGTACACTGTATGCGTTTTGTTTGCAGCTGTAAAACAAATTGCCCCTCTCTTCACCATCCACATTGCATTAATTATCTGGGATTCCTTTACGTTCTGTGCATTAACTGAATACTAAACATCTTCTACAGTATACAATATGTGTAGTATTATACAATCTTTATTAGGGAATAAAAAAATGATGAAAGCTCAGTGTTTTGCATACACTACTGTTTCAAATTCTTGTGCGGTCACTCCTTGCAATGTATAGTCCTAAATCCATTGTGAATGATAATATAATTTAAATAAAAAACAGTCATTCCTTGACTTCAAGTTACTGTATCTATCCAAAGAGAAGCTATAGAAACACTAAAGACCTTCAGCTCCTGGATAGAACTCTGTAATACTGACAGCCTGAGATAAATCGGGCTTTATTTGAAACGTCCAAAACGTGAAGAATACTGTATAATTGAAAGAAGCAACTGAAATGGGTGAAAATAAAACTACTGCCTGCATCCCTACAATGTCTTGGATTGCACAGCTGACTCTTCCTTTTACTAAAAGCAAAACTGAACGAATGGACAGATCCTGTACAGCTATGATGCACCTATTTCACAAAGGGCCCTTTGATTTCCCAGGTTTTTAACATCTAGTAGAACAAATGACTTTTCACTTAAATGTGCTCACCTTTTTGAAGGTGTATTAATCAGTGCCTTTATAGTGACGTAATTTTATTTTTTAAAAAAACTTTCCATATAATTGATTTGTGGTAGAGATGGTGAAATATAAAACTGTGAATGGAAGAGGAGAGGTTTATTCCATCTTTTGGTGTTTTCTAAATTAAATGGCACTTGAGACATATAAGCGGTTATACATATCTTTAGTAATCCTTCATGCTGACAAGGACAAATTGGGAGGCTTGACACATACTAACAAAAGCGCTACAGATAACATAGGTATAAGAATGGTTCACCTAAAGGTATAGGTCATGCTTCACCTACTGTCCAGGGGGCATAATGTAGTTTGTATAACACTGACTTAACTGTCTTCACAATGCTACACCAACAACCGACAGACATGTCAAAGCCATAGTGAAATGGGCAAGGAATGTTTGGGAATGACAAGCTTATTCACAATCAGTGCTTCAGTCATGCAGGCACGGTGAATATTCTTGCCATTTTGTCATACCTAGTCTATTGGAAGTACTTATTATACTGGTAATTCACCCTTTTTCTCTGGGTATCTCATATAGGCGGAGCGATAGCTCTGGGTCGGAATGGTGGTTCTGTGGCTAAGGATCTGCACCTGTGGCTGGAAGGTTGCCAGTTCAAGTCCCACAGCTGGCAGAGGAATCCTACTCCACTGGGCCCCTGAGCAAGGCCCTTAACCCCAACTGCTGCAGGGGTGCTGTACAATGGCTGACCCTGTGTCTCAGAGAGCAAGCTGGGTTATGTGGAAAGATGAATTCCTAATGCAAGAAATTGTATAGGGCTAATAAAAGTGATGTTATGTTAGATCATGACTATATTCAATAAAGGGGGGCAGGTGATCTGGAGACTATCCAGTAGGATATACCCTGGATGGGGCACCAGTAGGAATATCTTTCTTTTTCTTAAAACGTTAAAATACGTTTCATTAAATGCAGTCATTTTCTGAATGAAACGTAGAAGGCGTAGAGTGACTTCTGTACGAGAACAAATAATAGGTTTATTCCATGCTGAAAAGAAAAGCAAGGAAACAACATTTCAGCTGTAGAGCCTTCTTCGTGTTCCACACCCGGTGAAAGCTCCACAGTCAAAACATTGTGTTTCCTTTCTTCTCTTTTCAGCATGGAATAAACCTATTATTTGTTCCTTTGCAGCCTACGCACGCTGACACAGCTACCCACCTGAACTATAACTACTGTACGTACTACTCCTGGCTTGCTTTGCCTTGTCAATGGAATTTGGTCTGAGCTCATTAAATGAAAGATTGTGATAATTTTTTCTAAAGTTATTTCTCACTGTCAAGCACATAATTCACTGTAGTTTATGGAAGCACAAACAGCGTGCGAGAAACACAGCACTTATGCTTTATAATCTTTCATGGCAGCCTGATTACAAATGAACCATTATTTGTTCGGAATGTGATACTTTATATCTGATTTAGAGCATGTCACATTTCATAGCTGCAAATTTCCGATAACACAGACTGCATGACCACAGTTTGCACTGTAAATGTGTCTCTGGTTATATTGTTGTATCATATTATGTACAGTCCATATGCTTGCAAAAGATGGTTTGAAAGGGAATGTAATTACTTTCAGAAGTTTGCAGAGAAAGGCATTATCAAAATGATTTTGCACCAGATTATCATAACAGTGCTTGGAAGTATAAGTGTGTGTGTGGAGGGGGCTGTGATAAAAAACCGAGGATCAGGACTTTCTGTCCCCAAACACCCAAAATTAAACTTTAAATATTTAAACATTTAAACATGTTAAGTTATAGGAGTTACGGTTGCATTTTTTTATATAAGGAGAATATGGAGAGTAGGGGAGTATTTCAATGTTAAAAGCAATAATAATGATTATGATAGCAGTGATTATTATTATTATTATTATTATTATTATTATTATTATTATTATTATTATTATTATTATTATTATAATTACCAATGCAAAAAAATGCTAATTATTGAGTAAGGCATACATGGCTATTTAACTTGAAAAGCTGCTGTGCACCGGCACCAGTCCCTAGAGCAATCCTGACCAGTCCCGCAGACCACGCAGACAGAGACAGTGAGGCATAGCTGGAATGGATGATTTCCATATTTTTACTTTCATTGTTTTAAGCCCCGGCAGTCCCCAAATCAGGAGGACATTGGGGATTCATGGTACAAAAGAGGTTCAGAAACACTGTTTAGAACAGTATCTGCAACTTTCCTTAGACCTAATTACTGTAGCTTCTTTCTGTGGTGCTGGCGAACTTCAGGAAATGCCTATCAGGGAAGTGGTAGTGGTACAGTTAGAGAGTCAATGAGGGTGGGGGATAATTCATATCTGAAATTTCAGTTTTTAAAAATGATTCCTGGTACGGATCTGGACACCCCGGAGTTTATTTGTGATAGTACATGGTGCAAGGCCGGGCTACATCCTGGACAGGATAGAACTTCCATAGCAGAGTGCGTGCACACATAACACACACCACAAACAATGTCCATTTACTGAACAGGTACTAGTTAACCTAGTCAGATGTGATCCTGACTCTGAAGGAGCTGTGAGGCCACAGTAAGAGGATAGTTAAGTTATTTTACCAATATTATGAAATTAGTTCTGAACTCACTGATAAAACCCTGCACACTTGCCAGCTACAGGAAATCTGAAACTATGCAACTTGCTTTTTATTGGGAATAATCTGAAATCTGCGAATTATGAAAAATTAGCTGCTCTTCATGTCCTGCTCACACTACTCACTGTACTGTTTTGCCTTATTTGTAGCTGCAAAACACAGGTGGCAAGTACTGAAATCCAGTGTTCACAAGCCTGTGAATCTAATTGAACTAAAAGTCAAGGGAGTTGTTAACTGAATTTTTTTTCTTCTCATTGATATGTTGTTCATTTTCTTTATATCCCTTGCTGGAAATGTGAGGTATCTTTTGTTTTGCTCTTTTGTATCAATTAAAAAGAACAGTAACCCGAGTCAATAGCACTTTTTAATTTCAATGGGCTCTGTAATCAAAGTATTTTCCACTAATTTAGTGTTAGCGTTGTTGTTTTTTTTCTGAAGGCTATGAACATCCATATAATCCATTAAACTAATTAAAAGGTACTTAATTACAAGCAGCAGTTAATACAATAAACAGAATAAACAGTGAATGATTGTGTTCTACAAGTACCTTTCTTTTGTATCGCCTTGCTCTAAAAAACTCTGTACCACCACATTTACTATATCTTGAAGCTTTTGAGGAATCCGCCCAGTGCAACTTTCTGTAGGAACACACTGCTGTCTCCTCAAAGTCAATATTTTTCCCATGAGTTAATGCTTATTCTGATTTTTTAAAAAGCACTCAAGACTTCTGTATTTTATCAGAATATTTTAAATTTGGTATCAGGTATCCTACAAAATACCCAAAACACCAAATAAAGGTCAAAATATCAATAAACTATTCGATGAATAGTACTACATTAAAAACAAGTGCTATTGGTTCTAGTACTCACTGTATTTGTTATGAAAGAAACATTTCTGACTTGTCTGGAGTTCAACACACAAAAATGAAGTGAGACACTTGAAGTCTGTCCACTCCCTGATTTACCAGACAAGTTACAGTAAAAAAATGTATTAAAAAATAAATATAAAAATATTGATAATAATAATGATAATGTTGCTTTATTAGCCCCATACAATTTCTTGCATTAGAAATTAGTCTTTTTTCGCATACCCCAGCTTGCTCTCCATGAGACACAGACACACAGACAGGGAGAGAAGCTTGGTGTCAGAGCACAGGGTCAGCCATTGTACAGCTCATATATAATGATTTATTTTTATGTCCACACACAACTTCATAAGAGTATTTTATAGTGTCTGCTTTTTCCATATCATTTATGTTCCTACTTAGTGCCTGTGATCTCAGTGACTCCGTTATTGTTCGTATATCTTTTTTTTAGCTACTAAGCATAGCAACAGGATATACAAACAGCAACTACTCATTTGTAAAAAGCACATAACAACAAATTCACAAAATTCGAGAAATCAATGGGAAAAGACAGATGTCTTACAAACTATTGTAGTAAGTGCACAACTGTTTAAATGTAATTATATTATATTCGAAGCTAGATATTTGCTTCATAAAAAAAATGCTCACAATGTCTGCTTGTCAACGTTTACTATTTTTGTGCGGCTATTTCTGCAGATTGATTTCCCACATTGAGGGATATACACACAAATTTGCAGTCCTATTTTTGTGAGTAATTCCCATTGATGCTCATTCTGTTTTTTTTTTTACTGTTCCAAACACCACTTGAATGAAAATCCACTTGGAGTAAAAATACACACACAACAAATATATTAGAATTTTAGATTTGTAAGAAACTGCCATTTGTGGTATATACATATAAATAAATATATATACATATGTATTGTGGGGACATCTGTTTCTCAGTAGTTATTATCTGGGAGATTTTCTCAGGTTTTGTCACCATGTTGATAGTATTACATGCATGCATTAACACGAACTGCACCTCACGGTTGTGTATATCAGCTGCTCACCATCGTGGCGGTGAAAGGGATGTTATCAATGAGAGATGACACCAGAGCAGAAACCCAAATCACCAAAATAACAGCGATTGCCAGGCGGTGATCCTCGGGTACAGCCTGGGTTAATAAAAATCGTGGAAAAAAAAGATGATGTTATTACAGTAATTCAAATGTGTGCAATTCATTCCAGATAAATTATTTTCTGTTTGTTGTTTCTTTGTTGTTGTTGTTATTTTCACTGCACCACATACAGTAGCTTGCAGTACACACAAAATATGTGCAAATACCCGAAGGCCAAACTAAATAAGTCCTGTTATGTTCTCAATTTGGACTTCTGTTACCAGGATATATTCAGTGAGATGAAAACGCCTAAATCGTTGACAATCCTGTAAGGGAAGATATTGCCCTGTTATATATATGAACCACAACTAATATGTTTCAAGTCTTAGACCCATGCAATGTATCAGGCTATGTCCTTCTTCACAAAGCACTGTGATGCAGTGAAGCATGGTATTATTGCAGAATCCTAGGATTTTTTAATGCTTCAGATCTTTTCTGTTACACTACCGTTACACTAGAAAAAAAAAACGGATCTACCATATCCTCTTTCATTATGTTTTCACTTTAGTTTCTATAAAGAAAAGTCAGAGCTGTGATCAGGATGTCATATGTTGTTAAACTGAGCAAAATCTTCCCACCCAAATGAAACCTAACATATCAATCTGACTATACTGTAATTCCATTAGAAATCTGCTGGTTCCAAAGTGCCTGTATTTTAAAGACACAAAAGTGTTTGAACTGGTTCCAGTGTCTTATCCATGGCACAGTGAAAACTGTGCCGCTACATAACACAAAACAACAACTGCAACAGCTTATGAGTAAGCAGATGTGAATCCAGTATTATATTTTCAAAAGGTTCTCTTAGTAGCTGGATCTAAAGAAATGTGGTTTCTGTTTGATAATGTTCCTAAAAATGTACAGTATATGTTCAGGACCAACGAGCAGCATAAAGGGATCTGGATCTAAATTCAAATGATAAGCATTTAAAAATTATTTTTAAAATGCCAAAATCAAAGTGTAAAATAATACAGTACGTAGGGTGAGTACCCAAAGGTCCATTCAGACCTAGAGTCATGATGGTAAGCCTTATGGGCTGTTAGGATTTATGCACCCTGCATATTGAGCAAACAGGGCTCTGGTCACCAAGAAATATCTGTACAACCAGAAATATCTCCACATTTTGTTCTGGCAGATTATGACTGTAGCTGAATGAGGCCTCCGATCATCTTGATTTCTGTACCATTGGATAAAGGTTGTGTTTTGAAAAGACATGTGTGGATTATGGTGTGCAAAGGTTTCTCAATGATAAGATGTCACTCTCAGACATTTGCCTTCCACAGCACAGTTTGTAAGTGCTTCGGTGGTCAGCTGTAGTGATCACCCTGCAGTGTTTTCTGGAGGCCACAAATCATGTTCTGGCATGTTAGCTGCTGTTACAAAACATTTGAGCTGAGGCAGAAGTACTTTCCAGCAGCCATAACTAAGAATGAGCAGGACTTTCTAAGATCTGCGCTGCTCTCGCATTTGGGGAAGAGGGTAGATAAAGTGTGCTAAACATAGTGTGCCAGAGGGAACATCTTTCTGCAGTCAAAAAACACTACAGTATTAAAATTTGGAAAATGGAACACCAGGACCCTCCTGCATTGTCACAAGCATAAGCCAAACTGTGTTTGAGGCTCCAGAACTCCAGAGATATGACATTGGCAACACCACTGTGTTAAACCCAGCTAGATGGATAAGGCTGATTCCATTAATATGGAGGTCATTATACTTTCTTCTTGAGAGGAAAATTAAAGAAAGTAAACCTCCTGGAGTTGGATTTGCCATGAAGAATGAAATAATCAAACACCTTCCCATGTTTCCTGTTGGAAACAGCAAGCACTTTTGTCTTTGTCATGACCCTTTGTCTCAGATCAGCAGGAAATCGATTTATGATATATGCACAAGTGCCAAAGTAGAACTAAAGTAGACAGATGGGCCACATAACGACTGGCTATAATCTCCATATGACAAGTTGATATTTTTCTTAAAATAATAAGCATTTGTTACCATTTAGTATTTCCAATACAAAAGAAGTATAATACAATATCATCAACTATGTGCTTCATCAGCAATGTAATTATAGTGCACTTACCTTTATCAAAACAGCCGTTTGCTGTCCAATATAATCAATCAGTTGGAGTTGGGCCAGAGCCTAAAAGAAATTCACGGTAAACATGAACATCGTGTTCCTTTCCACACCCACTGTAGTTTCAGTATCGACGTGTGGCAAATCCTTGCCAAACTGAATCTAACATAAAACTTAAAGCAGTTCTCGGAATGATGGAGGATAATTTATTATTCCTTTTAAAAAAGCACATTAACAAGCTAATGGTTTGTACAAAGTGGCAAAGTCCTATGTACCGATCTGTGAATAAGGTGCTAACGTCTTTTTGGCAGCAATGCAATAACCCATATGTTACACAGTTTGGCTGGCAGCGTTCTATTAAGCTTACTGTTTATTCTTGACTTACATTAAGCTTCCAAAAGGGACATAAGATTGTGCTTCTATGTACATTTGTGCCTTACAGAAAATAAAGGATTAAAAGTAGAAATAGTTCGCAAACAGTTTTTTTCTGTGACCTTAAATTTAATGCTATCTTAACCTCTAATGTATTTTATTGGTCTTAACAGAATACTGTATGTACTGATGCACAATGAAAATGCAGCACGTCGTACTTAAAGCCTAAAGGCCATTTAATCAACACAAAATATGCTGTACAGTACGTGATGAATAATGAATAGTACATTTAGTATAAATTAATTGTTTTGATTTATGATTTTCCTTTCTTGGGATACACTTCTGTGTCAAGACTAGCAAAACAGGCTCATTGAGTGCATTGTCTATGTTGAGCTGAGCACAAATTGAAAATGAAACTGTTATATAAAAAGCCAGGAAAGCCTTTTTTTACATTAAAGTTCTGCAGAAGAAAGGGAAAATTAAACTAACGCATTGCATCAGGCTACAGAAGCCTTCACAAACACTACACCACACAAAAAAACCACCATCCGTTAAAGTAACAGGATTACCGTTGTTGTCATATCGTAATGTGCAGTGTTTATGAAGAACTAATGATAGTGACATGGGGGACAGTCTTACTCTGAATGATAAGAAACATTCACAGCTTTTATTGTCCTGTCTAAACTGTTTTTAAGAGTTTTAAGAGAATGAAGACCTAATTTAAATTATGAATTAAATTTAAATGAAATGGCTAAATAGCTCTGCACAGTGTACTGTACATTGTGTGCAAATGTCTTTCAAAAAACTAAATGAAACCGAAGGCTGCAAATGTGGTGACGTGATTGAAAGGAATGAAATTAAAAACCATGTACCTCCATCAGAACAAAGAGCGCAGCAAAAAACAACAGGGTCGCCCATTCCACCCGGTGCAGAATGATCTCGAAGTCTTGAATATCAGCTAGAACCAGCAGCCATAGAGCTCCCAACATAGCTATCCATCCTGAAAGAGATATAACCAGGAACATCCCTTCAGCTCAGCTTAGAATTAAGTTCAAAATGGATTCAGCCTTGAAGGGCATTTTTATAAAGGAAAAAAGCTATTATTTAACAAAAAACAATGTCAGAATAAAGCGTATGTGTTTGACTATGTATATCTATGTACAATTACTTTTTAAGAATTATTTTGTGATCAACACTAATAATGTGTTTGTCCCTTCATAGATTTCTAATAAGATGTTATATTCTTTCCCCCTTTGGTACAATGATTTTTTTTTTGCCCTTCTTATCAACAAAATCAACTTGCAAATATCCAGGAAAAACATGTTTACAGTAAGTGTACCTTAAATATAAGGTTCTTCACTTCTCAAAACTGAGACATAAAATATTAAAGATACTTACTGGAAGTACTGTATATTTACTGTATGTAAAAGGCATATACTTTTGTTCACCGTTAAATTAATTGTAATGCACTCAGTAGAAAAGGAGATTAACAACTGTTATTTTGCAGCTTGAAAAATCTGAGATATCTGAAGCAAAATGGCACACAGAATAAGATAATTGTTTTCTTTAATAACAGTGAAGACTCTGCAGTGAAGAAGGACTCTGCATAAGACCCAGATAGGCCATGCCTTTCGAAAAATGTAGATAGAGAACCTTGCTTGAATAACCTCTGTCTATAAACTAATGCTGAGCCCACTAGTTAAGTGGCCTCAAATATACTTTAACATCTTATCACTTTAAAAGACTGAAAACGTTTTTGATAAAATATCTAATTCAAGACAAAGATGGATGAACCCATCCAAATTGTGATACTGTGCAGTAATCCATAGCAATTTTCAAAAGGTCCAAATCAGTTTGAGCCAAAAGATCCAAAACAAAAAAGATTATTTTCCATGAAAGCAGAAATACTGTTACAGTATAAATCTGATGTGTGATACAATTTCAAGGTGTCTAGTACATCAATATAAAGATTAGGTTCTGACACTAGCTTATATTAACACCAAATTATAATGAATAATATTTCCACCCCAACTCCCAGTCTGGGAATACCAAATGTTACATGGCACATGGGTCTACTGTCACCTGGCACAGCCTAATAACAGAGTTGTTATCACGCATAAACCTACTGTATACAGGACAAACAAACATTTTTTTTCAATACACAGAAGTTCCAGTATGAACTGATTTTTACAATTCAGTGAGTACCAGTAATTAATTGCTTCTGAAGACATGGGTAAAGAGTGCTGTAGCTTGGCCCATTGCCTTACTAAGCTTCTACTTGAATGTCCTTATTTCAAAGAAAATAAATCTTTATGGCATCTGCTGGGAGGCTTAAAAATACATATAAAATAGAAAGAGTGGCAAGTGAAAACATCAGCAGCTGGGAAACAATGTTACAATAAATGTATTAATATGGAAAAATATTGCGAGTGCATTACAGGCTAATTAAATTAACTTTCAGCTGGAAAGAGTGCTGAAAAGGGAATAATAAGTGTTGCAATTACTTGTGAACCTACAGAAATAAAGTGTTTTAATTAATTCCATGTATTATAAGATGGTACCAGCTGTACTTCATTATCCGCCACCATCAGGATGGCTAAAATATTATCCAAATTTGAAAGCAGGATTTAAGCAACTTTTGTGTTGTACTCATTATTCCAGATTATAATAATGAATCCTTTTTTTATATGTTGCTCCTGTTACAGGCTCAAAGCGTATGACCAAGGTATTTTGGTCTTTTCTGTGTTTTGCTGGTTTATAAAATGTGGGCTTGATTTCTGCACAATTAAACTGTTATGGAACTAGAAGAAATAATTTTCATAAATCAAAGGAGAAATGAAATGTGATAAAGGAATAATGAGGGAAATAATATAAAATATCAAAAGTTAATACATTTACATTTTACAATAAGCTATTTTACATCTTTGCATGTCAACACCTGCGTTTATTAAATGCTTCATAATGAATAAGTATTCTAGGAAAAGCAACAGGATTAAATTCACTACATCTTCTACACCTTAATAAAATAGACATGGTAAATTAAGACTAACATGACTATCTAGTACGCTAACTGAAAATCCCTTTATCTCGGTACCCTCATGATCTCCAGAACAGCAGTTTTCACAGAATTCAGTTCCAGTAGTCATCTTTTAATTTCTAAATAAATGGCTAAAAATGAGAACAAACAGACCCTAGTAAATATCTGTTTTAAATTGTGTAGAAAACTGCCAGTTTGTAATGAAAACACACAGCTAGTTTAGTTGCAATCTGTCTTTCACATTGATTCAAAACTGCCATAGTATATTGCCATAAACTGACTTGCTATTTAAAACAACTTTGTTGACAATCTTGTTTTACAACTCTGATTTATGGGTTAAAAGAAACCACTCTAATCTAGATTTACTAGAGCAGGTACAGTATTCACACACCAGATTGCGGGGCCTATCATTAGCAGAAACTAATTTTACTTTTAGTGCATTTAACTGAAAGTTCTGTCATTTGACAATTTATGTGTCACCAAAAGAAAGAGAAAAGGTAAAAATCTTGCTGATTCTTAATTAAATTTAACTATACTGTACATTCTAGACTGTTTCTTGTGACTGTACCCAATGCAGACGCTAGATGTAGATCAATATACTGTAGTCTAGCACAAAACACTCATTTCAGATTCAACATAGTTAACACATTCATTGGAATCATTTCATTTTCCTGTGCTGTACAGATATTCCTTGCTGAAAACAGTTTTCAACTAGAGTACAGTTCCTTTGTAGCATATTGTTTAGCCTGTAAATATCTTGAAATTCCTCAAAGCCACCTAGAGCATGGTGATGTCAGTTGAGATAGAGACATCTTAATAGTTTCTCTACCATTATGTCACATTCTGATGCTGTCAGTCATGATTTCAACATAAAAGTGGTGATTTTCATAGTGGCAGTGAACAATTTTCAAGGCAGTGGCAAATATTATGCTAATTTCCAGTTAGAAAATTCCAAGCACCAATTACAACCATTTATAATGTCAACCGGAAAAAGATGAGTGACAATCCATGAATAGGCTTATGCTAATTAAAGTTACTCTACTGCTATTTTTCAATGCATATAAAATATCTGTTTTAGGCATTCTATCAAGTCAATACTTTGAATTGTTCCCAGACTGAGTAATTTAAAAGGAAACAAGCAGTTCAAATATATTTTAAATGCACAGCAAGTTCTAAAGTTGTGACTAAGCTTTATCATTTTTCTTAGCTTGGTCTTTGCATTTCAAAGCATCATATTTTTAAATATGAACCATACTGTATATCAGGGATTCTATGTTTTTATAGTCAATGTCTGAAAATAATGAGCTTGTCAAAAAGGGGAATTGATCCCTCATACAGGTGAGTCTGAATGGTTGCCTGGGGTAAATCATTGTGCTGCTGCTTGCTGTTGCAAGAGGAGAATTTAGGAGCAACACAGGACTTTTTTAACATTTGTTCACTTTGCTTATAAGAATCAAGAATAGCCTTTTTTTTTTAAAAAAAAGGTCAACTGTGCCCTTGTTTTGTGCGTGCAATGACAATGTGAAATTAGAGATCATGGTATCTGGTCAAAGAAAGCAGCTGTTGGTTTCTGTCTTATTAAGAGGAAACCAATTGCTTTCAGTTAAAAAAAAAGAAACTGTCTTTTTTAATCTCATTCTCCAGAGCTTAAAAAAGAACAATCAGAGCTATCAGATGTGTGTTAGGCTAGCGATAATAAATAAAGATGGCTTACTTTGCACACATGACTTATTGTTTGACTTATTTCTCCCTGTTCAATCGGAATGATTCTGATTCTATGATTCTAGAAAAAAATATTATTTCTTATGTTACTGGAAAGTTTGCAAAACTCCATCTCACCCAAGTCACATGTTTCAGTCACAATCTCTGGAGCAGGTGCATAAAAACATGACCACGAGCTCAATTTCTCCTTTTTAACAAAACTCAAAGGTGAGTGAAAAACCTTCATATTCACACTGTAAATCTCAGTATCAGATACAGAAAAGTTGAGTAATAAGTTTCTGCTTAAATACCCCACATGATGGTTATGAATAAGAACAATAACAGTTGGTAGGGAATTAACATTAATTTTTGCACTCAAATGACTAAGGAGAAAAAATCTCCAATGAATATTCTACAGTTTAATAGAATAAAATATTTCATTGCCTTTTATCAAATCCATTTTCTAGGGGCACAGTAGCCAATTGCCTTGAAACATCCTTGAATGTCTTGCACTCAAGTCATTGTTCTGACAAAATGAATTCTAAATGCTTGTACTGTCATACTACCTTTTGGTCTTCTCCATGTCATCACCCAATATACGTAAATACATCATAAACCCTCTGAGGGGTAATTTGTGGATAGTGTCAGCATTATCTTAGTGCAGTGGAGCCATTGAATGAAATTCATTAAAGAGCTTTCTTCATACTTGTGGCTCCCATCCACCCTGGAACTGTACTCAAGCCAGGCTTCTTGGTAAGTTGCCTAGAAGCACTAAAGAATGCTGTTGGTTTAGTTAGTGCCGCTGATATTATTACAATGAAAACCAAATAGCTATTTAGCGGCACTATTAACAATCGTCACATTTCTTTGAATGCAGTACAACCCACAGTACAATTCACATTGGATAGAGACTTGATTGATACAGTTTCTGACAATTCTACAACCACAAAAGAGCTTCCTCAGGCAAAAGGCTCTGCGTTTTTTGATCCTACAACACAACTCCAGTATAGGTCATTCTATTGTGTGCTGTCTCTTTAGGAATCCCAGTCATAGTCAGCTCCTGACCAAGTATAGAAACAAACAAGCAGCCTATGGACTATAGGATGCAACCTGTGCCTCAGATGGAGCCATTAGTGGCTGGGACACTTAGGACACCTCACAACATAGTTTCATTATATGATTGCTGTTATTGCTCTTTGCCTGTTGCGAAGTCGACTGAGGATTTCATACTCAATAAAATGTATGTTGTGGACTATCTTTAAATCCATCTTGTGAACAAAGAATAATCCACGAAACAAATACAGTACATCAGTAGCATTACACAAAAAAATTAACACAATTTTTATTTTTCTTAAAAAGCTCAGAAAATGAAATGAAAAACAAGTATAAGAGCAGAACTGAGAGGTCGGGATTCCCACAAAGACAGTGTTTTGAGGACACTGGGACCTCTGGAAAAATAACAATTCTAATACACATCAGTTACATACTGTACCTGTAATACACAAACTGTCCTTTTACTTGAGAGAAAATTAATATAATCCATATTAATATCTCTTGAAAACAACACTGTAATAACTTTTGATTTTCTCATATACTGTACACAGCAATTCCCTATGGTGTCCCTCTAATCCAGGAAAAACCACAGCAGACCACAAATGTTTTCCAATTAAACATTGTTTATCCTGAGGACTGAACAAGTGTATCTGGTCTCATTTATCACTTAAAGCCATGTGACAGATTAGAAACATGACAAAGACAAATGTCTCAATACCTTAATTATTTAATAACAGATGCGTACTGTACATCTTATTGTTATTGTAGCAAAATGCAAAAAGTGATAGTCCTGCTTGACTAATATCATTATTATATCTTCTGCGAAAGATTAATGTTTACCTCATAAATGTCTTGTTTTATGTTAAAACATTTAAAAGAAACAGCTAAACAGAACAATGCCCATTGATATTTTATTCATTTGATTAAAATGTGAATGCTTACACTGTATGTAGGAGAGACTCAATTTTCAAGTCACTATATTAATCGACTTATATGTCACTCAGATTCAGTTGTCATCATTTTCCACAGGAGCACCTCCAACAGTGCTTAAGGTATAAGACATGTTGCTTTATAGTCTAGTTTCCACTTAAGAGGAATTCACAGAGCCAATAAAATACCACATGTATTTAAATGTTATACAGTTCTTATGGCTTAAGTGGCCAAGCTGTTTTAAAGGGCAAATTAAACTTGGCAGTATCAATTTAATGAGACTTAAATGACAGCTGATTTTCACAACACCTTCAAATTAATAAACTGTTACCATTCGTATTTCATCACAGCCTTTAACTAGTGTTAATGAGAAGCATTTGAAGAAAGACTCATATTTTTAAGCAAAATTTGATTCTTACAGTTTCACAGGTTAAATTTGTGTCACAATTAAGAAAAACAGTACAAGGAAGTACAAGCCCTGTAATTTATCAAACGACCTCCTCATTTCCCTGCAGTAGCATATTTTACAACGTGTGAAATATCCTGTGTCTCTTTTACAGTCACAATTAATTTAAATCTCTTTAAAAAAACACGGATAAGTTACACGTAAAAAAGAGTCATATTCTATCTTAGGGAAAATCATTGCAGGATTTTAAACACTGACATCGGTTTCATAAATAATATTAAAGGAAATACATTTCCAAAATAGTATTATCACAAGATTCCAAATAAAGCACAATTGTAAAATATTGTTCAGAACTGTTATTTTGCAGAAAAAAATACTCCTAGCACAATATGGGCCCAGGTTAATACTAACGCTTTCATATTTTCATATATGTCATACACAGTACAGTATATAAGAAATATGAAAGATAAAGTGAGAAATGTACAGATTATACCAACACTTCACTCTTGTTGCTTTAAAAAGCAGTAGGTCTATATAATGGCAACCTTACCACCACCTACTGGTCCAAAAAGGTAAGTAAGTAAGGCTTTCAAACCAGAATAGTTACAGTACATTAATTGTTACTGTATATTAGTAGTAGCTATTCCAGAACAGATGTTCGGTATGATGGAAATCTTAGAGCTTACATACAGCTCAGGTTCTTGAAGGGCTCAGTATAAAGGCTGAATCCCACTCATCTATTATTTGTTGACTGAACTAATTATTTACTTAAGCAAACCAATGCATCCCTTCTCCCAGATCTCAAGGTTAGTTTATCTCCAGTTAAAACTCAGTTTCAACAGAATTCAATTTTTTAAGGCGAGGATGCGCAAGTGTTTTTTTAATTCAGTGGCAAGAAAATATAGAAGACAAATCCATAATGCAAATGATACTTAAGCTAACATAGAAAAATAAATATATGGATAAATAATAAAAGCAGTAGTTAACTTTAGAGAAATGGGAAAAGGCTATTTGAGTCACATTTTAGGGGTGGTGTGGATAACAACAAAAGTAAATTTATGTGACTTCAACCAAATGAAAAATCAATGATAGCCACAAAAGGCAAGCTTAGTTGGAAAACCTTATATATATAAAGAGATGAATGCTGCCCCACAAGCAACCGAAAAATTGCTCTAATTCTGTTTAATTGGCATTCACTTGGCTGAGAGATACTGTTCAGAAAACAACCAAATTGCATTTAATTTATGGCTTCCTACAGTAATGTAGCTGATTAAAATAATGAAAGTGTGCTTTCTTACACAAAAGCTATTGCAATGTAACTAGACTAAAAAGGTATGTATTGAGATGGTGACAAAATATATTTTATATTAACATATTAATTTATAGCATTTTGAAATACATTGTGTGAAAGATTAAATATATTAGATAAAAGTGTCTACATTTATTTTAGTGATAATTAACTAGAGAATATATAAATAGATTTGGCAGATCTGAATAAATATTCATGAAATTTTCTGTTGCCATTTCTCTGTTATTCTATAATTATGGATCATTTCAAACAAACATTTCCTAGAAAAAAGGAAGCTGTGCTGTATAATTACGAACTGCAACCTATAACTACACTGTGGATATGAAAGGACAAAACTAGTGATAAATTTAATTATCCATTTCCTTTATAATAACAATGAAAATCCATCACTTACCAAGATCAAGATGTATACCAGGAATAAAAGAATTGAGAAAGAATGTGAAAATAACAACTCCCAGGACAGAAATGCATTTGACCAAAAGGATTTTGTCAGATATTCTGTGCTGTAAAATGGGAAAAGGAAAGGGAGAATCTCCACTGAACAAAAATATAGTTTTGAAACTTGACTCATAGCAGTTGCCTGCCCCAGTAACTAGGAAATTAAATCCAAAACTCATGAAACCTATTGGAAAGCTGCATTGTCATGCAGTGTTAGCCTTAACCTCTTTGAATAATTATTATATCTGTATCAACATAATTGTCTTGCACACATGAATAACTAATAATAACTGTATAAATCAGGAAAATGTACAGTATTAAATCAAGTAGCAATGCTGTTTAACTTAAAGTTTAACTAACCCATAACCACCAAATAATACAAATTCAGCTGAATAATATTATTAGGAAATGTGTTGTTGGGTTTTTATACTTGGGTATAGTACCCTTGTTTTTTTCATGCTTGCTTACCTTTTTCTGTAGTTCTTGAATATTTGTCTCCCAGTTTTTGTCTTCTTGTGAAATTTGCCTGAAATTACAGTAAATGTGATCAAAGGGATACTCGCCTAAGTCTATTATTCAAACATTTTATTCAAACAGTGAATAACCTGGTCATATGAAGCATAATGAAGCATACTGAAAACATCTATTAGTCACCATATTTGATAAGAACATTGAAAATGGGATGTTATCAAATCCAATTTTAATGGAAAAGAATGTCCCTGACACTAACATTCCTGTAACAGTTTTGCTGTTGCTGTTTTAAGAGTTATACCCCTTAAATCTACAATTTAGTGTATGCATTATTATATAGAGAAAATGAAGAACTATTTATTTCAATAAATGGAAAATTAATTTTAACTTAGAATTATGTAGAGACTATTAAAGCTCACATTTCTATCAA